CTATCTATCTATCTATCTATCTATCTATCTATCTATCTATCTATCTAAAATAATTTATGTGTAACGTAAAAAAAATACATGTAACATTCAACTTTATAGTTAGCTCAAATTTCTGTGACTTTTTCCTGCGTTCTGAAAATTTTCACTTAAATTTGATGGTGCATTGGTTAAGATCTAAAATTAAGCTGTGAAGGGCGGGGTTAAAATTCACTTCTCATACACAACGTGCCGCCCTCCTCGGCTCTATTCAGGTTGCCCAGGTATCCAAAACACGGATGTCTAATTTTCAACATTTACGTTAACCTGCGCGCGTGGGATGAGCTAGCAACATTTTATATGTTCCAACTTGAACTTGTCGAGTCCCGCATTAAATGGTAAAAAAAACAAAACAAACAAGCGCTGGTACTTAATGCAAACTGACCGCCAATATTGTTTTTAGTAATTTTTGACAGCTGGTTTCTTCACAGGTGGACAGTGTTGTCAGAATGAACTCTGATATGAAGAAACTAGCTGACGTGTTTGCGGAGGATTCGGAAAATGATGCGACATTTTATGGTTTTTCTGACTCAGAGCTCCTGGATACGGTATGTTTTTAAACTTTTTGCTATTATTTCAGAGTATTTCTGTGAACTGTCATCATATATGGGTGGGGCAGTCGTTTTAATTGACTTTTTATTGTCTTTATTGTAATGGTGTTCTTCAACACTTGACTTATTATTTTGCATACAGAATTCAGAAGGTGATCATGAAGCCTGCCCTGACGTTTCTCCTAAGAGGCAGCCAGAAGTTACATCTAAACCATCTGCAACCTTTAGACCTTTCAGGATGAGGCTTGCTCTGGGCTCTGCTTCCTCTTTCCATCAGTCCACAGATTATGAGGATGAAGAGGGAGACAAATTGACCCCAAATGGAGGGGTGCAGAAGAGGCCAAGGAAGACCAACACAGCAAAGAATGAAAGATGTGATGGGAAATTTGAGGATGAGGAGACAGAAGTGACTCAGCCTGAGGGAAGTGGATCTGATTCAAATGAAGATGTTTCAGATAATTTCTTGGCCAAGAGAGAGAAGAACATCAAGGATAATAAAGCAATGGTGACTTAAAAGTGCATGTATTCTAAATAATAGTGCCAAATCACAACAAAGTTGTCTCAGGGCACCAATTCTGGTTGTATTTGGAAACTGTTACAGTAATATGATAAAAATACAGTATTTAAAGTAGAAGACTGAATAAATTAAGTTTAAAATAATCTAGAATGCATCTTCAACACCTACAAAGCACTACAGATTTGTATGGTTCTCTAAAGAATCATTCCAAAAAATGTAATCATGTTTGGAATAGACCAATACCACAACACATATTCTGACTAAAGTTATGAATCGCATGCCTTAAGATTTAAGATAGATAACTTGATTTTGATCTTAGGATGTTTCATCTTGGTTTGGAAAATGTCCCTGGCATAGTGTTTATAGCATTCTCTGCCAATCACACTGAGCTAGTGAAAGGATTATGCCTGTCATTTACACTCAAGTTTCTAAGGCTGGCACTTGGAAATGTTACGGAAAAGATGTTAGTTAAATGCAAAAAATATTGAGTGTCAAGGGGTGGCTTATTTGCCTGTCAAAAGTTACGTGTGATATTAATTTGTCATTGTCTATTCACAAAACAGTTGGTACAGCTGATGGCAGATCTGCAGAAAATGCCAGGAGGAGTGGGTTTTTTGAAAAACCAAACATGCAAACAGAAAAGGAAAGAACGAAGCTCTGTGAGTATAGAAAAAAAAATGGGGAGTCGTTCAACTAACAAACCATTTCTTTGCCACTCTTTAAAAATAAACGGATACACAAAAAAGTTGTGCCCTGTTAGGAACCAATAGATTGTGCTAATTCTGTCACATTTACAGCATCCACCGCGGTCAGGCTTGGCTGAAGGGGAGACTAAGAAGAACCCAGAACGAGCATCTCGCCGATTAACTCGCTCAATGAGCAGAAGAGAGGAACCATCACCTCCTAAAGAGGCAGACGTGGAGCTCAGCTTAGAGGAAGAGCTGCTGGAGGTCAGTGAAGTCATTTACTTACGGTAATAATTAAAAAGGAATAAGCTTTTTGCAATGCTACAGGTCAGTATGACTATTGTACCTGTGCATTATATTCTGTTTTGACTGATTTCAGTGTTATATTTTCAGTATGTGACCAGTCTTAAAATTCAGACAGAAAAAAAAGTCAAAGCAAAATCATTAGCATGGCCTCCAAACACGTGAAATCCGGCAAAATTAATTGAGGAATTTTATTCAAATGTTTGTTTAAAACCTGTAACATGGTTCATTTTACTGCTTGAATAAAATAAGTCTAGAGAGCAAATATTTCTCTTAACTTTTGTTAGTCATTTTGAGCCAACAGACATTTGTTTATGCTTGCATATTGATTAGATATCATTACAGTTGTAACTAGAGAAATTGCATTTCCTGGGAAAATGCAGTGTGAATGCTTATTGCTGAAGAACTTGCTGATTCAGAAAAAATAGCTGAAATTAAATAAACATGCTGAAATGTGGCTGAAATGGAAGAGCAAGCCTAGCGCAAGAAAGCAGAAAGAACGCATATTTGCTGAAATAGGTTTAAATAAGCAGAAATGAGCACAAAACTAGGAAATTTGCTAAAAAAAAAAAATAAAACTGACATAAAAGTAGCTGAAAATTAGCTGAAAATGCAGAAAAAAAGCTTAAACTACCAGAAAGAAGTAGAAGGAGCTGAAATGAGCTAAAAAAAACTTTAAAAAGTGGAATTGGCTGAAAAAGCTAAGTTTAGCACAAAACAGCTGAACTAGGTATGCAGAAGAAGCTGAAACTAGCAGAAAAAATCTGAAAGGAGCATAACAAGCTGAAGTTAGCAGAAAGAAGTTACCTTAATTAGGCTGAAAGTAGCAGAAATTACCACAAAATACTTGAATTTATCTGGAAACAGCTGAAATTGGCTAAAAAATGCTAAAAGAAAAAAGTAGCTTAAAAGGTAGAACAAGTTTAAATTAGTAGAAGAAAGCAGAAAGAACACGTTTGCTGAAAGAAGTAGAAATGAGCACAAAAAGTGGAAATTTTCTGAAACGGGCTGAAATGAGAAAAAATAAAAAATAAACCAGCTGAAAAGGCAGAAAGAAGATTACTGGTAAATTACCAGAAGGAAGTAGAGAGAGCCCATTTTTTGATGAACTATGCTGAAAAAAAGTTTAAATGAATGAAAAAAATGTGGAATTGTCTGAAAATGCTAAAATTAGCATAAAAATAGCTAAATAGTAGCTGAAATAGCAGAAAAAGCTGAAGCTTGCAGAAATAAGCTGACAGGAGCATAGCAAGATGAAATTAGCAGATAGACGTTAGAAGAAGCACAAAAATGTTGTAGTTGGCAGAAAGTTTCTGAAATGACCACATAAACAGCTGAAACAACAGCTTAAATTAGCTGAAAGTGTCTGAAAAAAAGTTTAAATTTGCACAAGGAAGCTGAAAGAAGTTGAACCAGAACAAAATGTGAAAGGAGCAGTAAAGCTCTAAAGATCTAAAGGACGTAAAATGAGCTCAATTCATTTTCCATGTGGAAAAAATGTCAGAAAAGGCTAAATATTTCAGAAGCTAAAGTTGCACCTATACCAAAAATTGTAGCAGGATTGTCCTGGAAGAGCTGAATAAATGTTTTGAGAAATGATTTGTTGAAATAGCTTGAAAACTGCGGGACAAGAATCGTCCGAAAAACGTACGGAAGAAAAATGGATCACAATCGTGTGAATGCTTCATAAACATTCACACAATAAAAAAATAAATAAAAACTTAGTTACTCCAAAACTCAATTGCAAGAAAGTTGACTAAAAGCAGAAAGTGAGCACACATTATACGTTTTAAAATGCCTGCACTTTGTATGTTTGATTAATTTTTTAAAGATCTTTGTCTATTAAACTCATTCTTCATTGTTGTAGATGTAGAAATGTTTTAATTCCATGACCCACTGGCATCCTGGTAGTTTGATTTTGATCTCCAAAGTTGGAACTAAAACTCTGTGAAGCTTTCATTAGCACTGTAATCCTGCTTGAAGACCACTGAAAGTGTACGTTGTTAATTTTAAATAAACTCAACATCCATCTTTTAATTGAACTTCTAAATGAGTGTTTATAGTAATAGATGATAGATAGATGTTTGCGTGTGATTGTACTTTTTAAATTTTTGTATTTACCTAAACAAATCTGGTTGCATTTATGTTGGGGATAAAGTTTTTTTGAGGATGTTAACAATCTGTTGATGTTTTTATTTTTTATTAAGTAAAGCACTTTGGGTTGCACTGAAAAATTGCAACAAATATCATATTTTTTAGGTGCGTCGAGCTCCACCACGCCGTGGCTCCAGTCGACCTAGACAGAGCAAACCTCATCTAGTTCGTCCAGTCGAGGACATCACGGAAGATGAGCTTCAGCTGGTTGCAGACAATATGACTGATAAAGTGTACAACACCGTGACAGTGAGTCCACAGCTGGACCTTCATCCACACTGAAGGCATATCAAATCTATTTTTCCAGTACATTCTGTGGAGCACACATTCTGCACGGATATTTGCAAATAATTAAAATGATCGCTGTGATATTCATGCGGTGAGAACATCATCAACCTTTGTTGATTTCACAGTTCATAACAAACAATTATTGGAAGTTTTGCCTTTACAACTCTTTCCAAACTGTTTCTTTTTGCATTTCTTCAGCTTTTTTTGACCTCCTTGCAACTCCTTGTATATTTTAGGTTGAATACTTATTTTGTGCCTAAAATGTTTTTAAAGTTTGACGTGTTCTATACCTCCAGTGTATATCTGAAATGCAAAATTAGATTTACATTATTTTGCATGTGCAGCTCATTCACTGGCTACGTTTAACTTCCATTAAGTGCACAGATCTATTCATTTAGCATCTAAAATGCCTTTTCTGCATCTTTTGGATGCACCTATGGTCCAACAGCATTCTGCTTTTTCTAAACAAAATGCATCATTGCATTCATCTTGATTAAGCTGTTTAACTGCTGGCTCTAAATATTGCAGGCTTTACAGTCTTTACAAAATTCTGAGATATTTTGTATCTAATCTCTTTACACTGAGCCATGGTTTAGTATACATAGTATCCTTGAAAGTTATATGATCATTTATTTATACAAATACCACAAAATACATTTTAATTTACTGTTGAGTTTTTGTTTACTATAATTTGTCCTTATATTGTTGGTTATGTTTTTTCCCCTGGAGTTGAGGCATCATTAGGACAGAGTGCTTGCTCTTATTGGGTCTTCTTTGCATAAAACAAATTATGAGCGGACCTGCTGGTCATGCCATAGTTAGCCATACGAGTGCAGTAAGATGTTTTTCTTTTTGCATCTCTTAAAGATCTAATTTAAAAGGGATGGAAAACGCAAAGTAATTTATCTGATGTTCCTCTGTATTTTCAGGGCTCCACATGCCATCAGTGCAGGCAGAAAACAGTTGACACAAAGACGTGCTGTCGCAGTGACGACTGTCGAGGCATTCAGGGTCAGTTCTGTGGGCCGTGCCTGAGGAACCGATATGGAGAAGATGTCAAGAAAGCACTGCTGGATCCGGTCAGACCTATGATACACCAATAAACTTTACACTTGTGGTGACACTGTATATAGTACTAGGCAAAAAACAGATGTAGGTGGTATATAACTACAAAGTCAAATGAGGAAAGAAGTTTATTTTTAATAAAACTGAAAATCATTAGCATCGGCTTTTAAAATTTACATTCAGGCTAACATCATATGGTTTACCGTTACTTAGTTGGGTGATTAAAACCTACAAAGGGATGCAATTCAAGGAAATAACGTCATTATATAAAATGCTGAGGGAGCACAAACCAACATCAACCACAAATCTATAAACTAAGAGGGAGAAAGAAGCCAAAATTGAAATATCATCTGAAGAATGACTGAAGATATGTATAAATCAGAGTACAACAACTAACTCCAGACTTTGGAGAGTTTGGGTGGATGAATCTCACTAAGTTGTTCTTTACACCCAGTATAAAGAGTAAACAAACCAGATCTCATCTCCTGTGTTGGAGAATGTGTGGAAATATAGAAGCAAACCATACACACGTCAAAAATTAGATTGGCATTGGATAAATGTGAATACTACAATCAAAACAATTTTGGGATACCCAAAATCAAAAGATTTTTAGACATTGTATCTTGGAAACGTTAGTGTTTTGATTAAGATACTGTAAAATATCTATAACAAGGAACTGATGCCAGACATCCTCCATACAACAAAGGCTGAATATTGTTAAGGAAATGTATGAGATGGAGCTCATTCTTAGACTAAAAGAAGACGTTTTTATAAATAAGTGGGAAAAATGGATACAGTACGACACCCAGGAAGAGACGTGAGGAAATTCAACACCATTAACAGAAATTATTTTGGATGTTCGCCCCCTTATGTTTTTTTGTTATTCTTACTGTAAAGAAGCCTGCTTAGGCTACCATAATCTGGAAAATGTATATCTTTGAAATGTTTTCTACCACTGGAAGCGTTAATAAAAATACAACAATAAACAGGTCATAATACAGAATGGACACTTTTAAGTTGCTGAGCATCTTTTGTGCAGCAACAGCTCTCATCAGCCCTGTAACTCTTGTAAATGAGTCCCTGAGGCTCAATGGGATTAACCTGTATAAAGATTGAATGAAAAATAACACGTTAGCAATAATGAAAATACTTTTTGGTCATCAGTCAGTTCATGAGTGTTCCTTGGAAGAGCAGCTTCTTTGTGGTGTTGACTCTTTAAATGTTTAACATGTTAGTGCAATATGGTGGCTGGCTAGTTTTGAACCTTAAATGTGGAGACAGAAAATTGATACAGTTAACGATTGATTTCTACCCCGCTGTATTTAGAAATGTTACTAGATTAAATTTCTGTTGAAACAAATGTGCTTTATGATGACCAAACTGTTTGAAACCCAAAATTCTTATAGAGCCAGAAAACTAATGCAAGCATGTGGCTTTTAATGACCCTGGTTTTATATCTGCGCTACGTTTATTTAATAGTTGTATTTTGCATGTGCTCATTTTATTTTCATCAGCTTGTTACGACGATCGTAAAGAGCAAATAAATACTCAATTTAACTAGTCATACAGGTACATAATTCTTTCTAGAAGTGTTCGTCTTAGTTTGCTAATAATTTGTTTTTCTCCTCAGAATTGGAAGTGCCCTCCTTGCAGAGGCATTTGTAATTGCAGTTTCTGCCGTCAGCGTGATGGCCGCTGTCCGACCGGCATCTTGTTCCCTCTGGCTCAGTACTATGGGTTCTCTGATGTCCACTCCTACCTCACCAGGTGTGGTACCTCACCGTAGGGCACTTAAATGGTTGTAGGCATGAAGTAATTCCTTAGGAAAAAGTAATTTGACACCAGAGGGGGGTACTTTTTGAAGCTGGGTGATATGTAGCGTAGATCCCAGTCTTTCAATCAGTTTTAATGGCCACTATAGCTAAGCTGTGTTTCTGTCCTTGCAGCCTCCATGACAAACTGAAGAGAGGAAAGTAGCGATCTAACATTTAACACAGGAGGGAGCCATTGTTCAAACTACTGTACTGCATTGCTTGTTTTTTCCCCAGTTAATTTTATTCTTGCAATTTTTCTAAACAAATAAAGTTTTCTGACCAAGTGTGTTTCTGTGAGTGAAACTCAATGCACAAGCTTGCAAAGAAATGAGAGGTTTAATTTTAATCCAGCTGTTGGCATCTGCAGTTTGTGTATAAACATACAATATAAAATCCCTTAATTAAAACAGATTGGGAGTATTGGAGTATAAGAGCACTTGTCTAATGAACTTAATAGAATGTCACTTTAAATGTACATTGCACAATTTACAAAGCGTAATTGCAAAAGGGGGAAAAAAAAAACAAAAGAAAAACTATCCAAAGCGTTTTCTGTAACGATACATTTTGAAACTTGTTTGAACAACAGGAAGTATATCCAAAGTTTGCCTCAAGCCAGATCTTTTCCAGTTATAATTTTGGCATATGCATTATAGCATAAAAAATAAAGTTCAAAGAAGGTTTCCCAAATGAATGAATGTTTGGTTTGGAGCTTGCATGTTCATGACTTCTGGATGTTGTTGCAAAAAAACAAAAACAAAAAAAACACATTTAAACTGACTAATAACTAAACAAGAAATTAAAGTTTTCCACAACAGAAGTTGATATAACTGAAAGGCAAAGTCTAATTTAAGTACCACAAAAGAAAAAAGGAAGACCTGGACTGTATAATACATGACAAACTGAAGTTTACAAATTTTATCAACACATATATAAAAATAAGATTGATTGATTGTGCATGAAAAGAACAAACGTAAATCTGCAATCATATAGAGACCTGCCTGTGCGAAAAATTTATGTAGCAATCATCACAAATTATTTATACAAAAAAAGAAAATGCTTTCACAAAGATATTAAAGCATAATGGCTTGAATGTGTACTTACAAAAATGGTAAATAATGATTTATAGGACTTCAGTGCCCTAACACCTATATCCTCTGGCCTCAGCATGATTTTATGTATTCACATCCATCCCCAGGATACTAAAATTGCTACTCTGCAAATATATTCATCCACAGTAATATGAAAATCCAATCTTTGTTGCTAAATAGTTTCATTTAATGAAGATATATTTCATTTTGAGATCATTTGGGTCAGTTAGCCTGAAGAACCTGACAGCAGTCTAGTCCAATGGATCAAAACCTCCTGAGGTGAACAAGTGGCAAAACCCACAGACAGAACAAGAACCTGACTTGGTGTCGCCTGTTCAACGATGTAGCTTGTACTGAGATTACTAGCTACAAATTCAACACGAACTGTGCTGACGTGTTCATTACTATCCCACTCATGGGTAACCAAGACTGGATCTTTGTGTGAGATGAATGTCAGTGTAATCCCATTTCCAGAGGAAACAGGATTTCAGTGATTTTTGTTTTGGGATTTTAACTCCATTCATCCACCTTTGAGCCTTAAATGCCACAGGCCTCTAGATATAAGATGAAAGTCCGATTTCTGCCCCCACTCTACAAATTGTTAGTGTCTGTTGTAATGCATGTGAGACCCCCAAGAGGTTCTCCAGTAACACCCATTTTCACCTCAAATGTCTAAACAACATCCACTAAGACAATCGTCTTCCATCTTTAGTAGCTGTTGCCGTTGATTTGGTGAATGTCCACCTGCATCATGCTAATACCACTGTTGGCTAATCGAGCAAGGCTTTCTGCAGATAAGGTTTCCATGGTGACAATGGTGTGCTGGTCGCTAGCTGACCCCACTCCCATACTGGCTTCTGTTCCTGCTGCAGGAGATGCAGCATCTGTTGACACTGCGCTGCTGGTGGCAGACAGTACTTTCTTGTTTGAATGGGTCTTGACGTGTTTTGAGAGATGATCGCTGCGCATGAAGCGTTTTGGACACTCGGTACATGCAAATCTTTTCTCACCTGAAAAAAATGAGAGAAAGAAAGGATGTTAATTAAGCAAGTGTGCCTAATGGTTCCTTGGACTCTGACTGCTGGCTACTCTTAAAAAGAGACAAGTTGAGGGCAAATAAAAGTCTGAAAGAAAGTTATTAAAAGTATAAATGTTATAGCAACGATTTCATTGTATTCAGCTGACCCAGTGGGAAAGTATGCACACCGGGAATCCAAAATTAAGTAATCAAATAGAATCAAGCAGGCCTTACTGTTATGACTGAACTGAATCCACCGTACCTGTGTGTGTTCTCTTGTGGCGCTGCAGCTCATCTGAACGAGTGAATCGTTTGTTACAACAAGACCAACTGCAGACAAAAGGACGTTCTCCTGTGTGCCAGCGAAGATGGGCTCTAAGGTGGGACGTCTTGCCATAGATTTTTCCACAGCCAGTGATGTGACAGATGTGCTGCTTCTTTTTATTTGGATCTCTGCTCCATGTAAAGAAACAGGCAGATACATCAGTGTTTAGACAAATAATTTGTCAATTTGATACTTAAAAGCTTTGTCTGTGAGGTGATTATGCACAATATATATTTTTAAACACATTAAAATAAAAACGGATGCAAAGTGGACTCTGAGTTCCTGAAAAGTTTAAGATTTATCTTAGCTGTGCTATACATCCATCCATCCATCCATCCATCCATTATCTTTACCCGCTTATTCCATTTTGGGTCACGGGGGTTGCTGGTGCCCATGTCCAGCAATCACTGTGCGAGAGGCGGGGGACACCCTGGACGGTTCGCATGTCCATCACAGGGACACATAGAGACAAACGAGACAAACAACCATTCACTCTCTCACTCACACCTAGGGACAATTTAGAGTTACCAATCAGCCTAACATGCATGTTTTTGGTCTGTGGGAGGAAACCAGAGCACCCGGAGAAAACCCATGCATGCACGGAGAGAACATGCAAACTCCACCCAGAGGGCCCCAGGACCGGGGTTTGAACCAAGGACTTGCTCGCTGAGAGGCAGCAGCTCTACCAGTTGCACCACCGTGCTGCCCCATGTGCTATACAGATGTTCCCAATTTTAAAAATAATTAAAGTTGGATTGGTACACTAAGTTTTACCTGTAAATGTTGAACCTCACTTAGGGCGAGTATTGTGTACTGCATACGAGGGTGTCAGAAGCATCCGTAATGTGGGGGGGACACAATGATGTGTGTAGGTGTGTGTGTGCGCGTGTTTAAAAAGTGTTCACTAGTGAACAAAAAAAGCAACATTTCACCTAGATTTCCTTTAATTCCACACATTTAAAGCATGTTTCTCATCAAGTTTGTGTAAATTCAGCCGTGGGTTTAAAGTAATTTTAACTTTAATACAGAGCGTCAGGTCAGCACTATTTGTGTTTATAAAAAAATAAAAAAACATCACCACTACACTTTTTTACTTGTGTTCAACACGACTCATCTAAATGATGTTTCTCATGAAGCTTGAGGACAATAAGGTGTGGGGTTTTAAAGACATTTCAACTTTAATGCACCTGAACACACAGCGACTTACACCTGCAGCGTCTTACAGCGTCACAGTTACTGCTAAGCTAAGATGCTACAGACATGGCTCCTCTCAAGCATCCTCCTAACATGAATATATGTTGATGATCAACCCCCACCCCCCCGCCCGCAAAGCTCCCTAAACTGGCGAGCGAGTAACACACCTCCTCCACCTGTGCGCGTTTTATGCCGAGACAGGAGGAGATGCACAGAAACACTGCAGGTGTTACACCATATTCTGTGACCACCGTATATTGTGACCATGGCAACAGGCTGCTGTGTTTAGAGTTGAAGGTATCCAGGAAAACCTGGAGTGGAGTTTTAGTGGTTTGAGTATTCTATTAATCAAGTGGAATTAATTTGTTCACGACGAAAGAGAAATTGCACCGCCTGAACTAATGTTTCATGGTAAAATGGGGGGGTGGGGGGTGTCCAAATGAACGTTTTTGGAATGTGGGGAGGACTTGTCCCCTTCACATATAATGGTTGTGACACCTGAGTGCATAAGACATATTTGTTAGAAACAGTACAGTCTTTGCTTCACCCCCCTTCCTACATGTTCACCTGCCAATTTCCTGTCTGAATTACTCATCTCATTTTGAAAGACAGATTCAGTGCATGTACGTTACGTTGTTACAAAAGGACTTATATACACAAAGATAACAGTTGACAACAGCAAGGACTTAATGTGAACATATATCTTCTTCATTTCACTCACCCTCACAGATAAACACATACCCATGCTTCTTGTTGTAAAACATTAATTGCAAGATCAGTCAGTAACTTGAACACATCTAGCCCTTAATCTTGTATGAACAGAGAACTAGTCTCTGAGTGATACAGTACAATGTATGGTACTGATTTAGCATTTAGTCTAATTGATCGATCAAAAAAGGTGGCAAAGTACTAATAAATGTTTGCAGTCTGGAATCTCGCCAATAGGTGCCACCAAATCCTGGAAAGTGATTCTTAAAACCATGTTTTAACCACAACAAATACTTTTTGAACAGCAGGGAAAATTACTCAAGGTAAAACACATTTTATCTGACTGAACAGTTAGTTAAACAAAAAAGATATAAAAATGCTGAAAAAGAATTAGAAATATTATTTAACCTTCTTAGAAAACAACCACAAACAGGGTTCAAATGCATACCGTGCCTCTCCATCTTTGCAGAAGGGGCAGGTACAGGCTTCTCGGCGGTTTCGGCGCCCCTGGGTTGGTGATTTTGGATCGTCGTCATCCAGAACTGTACAGTCATCCAAACTTTCTCCACCAGTCTGAAATGGCTGCTCGCCTATATTGAAAAAAGGAGATATGTAAAAACATTCTGACGACTTTTTGATTTCATTCACTTTGAAACACACTACTTAATGTTTCATGGCAAATTGTTCAGCCATCTTTCCTATTCACTCCTCATGAAGACAAGCTATTGTTAAAGAGAGATTTTCAATTTTAATATTTCATTTTTAGATAACACAAAAATCAATAAAATTCAATTCAGTTCAGTTTATTTATATAGCGCCAAGTCACGACAGAAGTCTAAGCCCAGCCGGTCATAAAGGCATTGCTGTATCATTTCCAAAAAGACTTAGTATTTGAAACTGAATTTTATTATAACATGAATGCTGTTTGATGATTGTAACCCTAAATCATATGGACACAATATAAATATTTGTTTAATTTCAGCTCTGACAGACAAAAATTCAGCTATTCTTCTAATCTGTAATTTAAACCATCTCATTTATACTTGTTGATTCGTCTTAACTGTTGTCTTCTTAACCGATAATTCAGATTAGCAAGCACAAAGGCCAACAGCAAACAAGGTCATGAGTTGAAGTCTAAATAACTGCTGTGATGCAGAAGTTGTGCTCAAGCCATAACTTAAATATAATCCCCATCATTTGAAGCAATGCAGCATATAGTTTTAACTCAAACACACCAGCAGTGCAGTTAGTTCAGGCAAAACTCAACTAGCTGAACTGGTTGAAATGGAATTTAACACTTTTTTTTTTAATACAAAGTGAGATTGAACACAGAAATACAACATGAAAACCTCATTTCTAGACTGCTACGTTTAAGGAACGTGCTTTTCAACATCACATTCATTATTTAGAAGCAAAAGGACATGCCAGGAACATTAGTAATGATGAATAAGAAAAAAATGGCATAAATATTCACATTATTCATTACATTTAAACATAATTTGAGGCATTACCTTGCCTTAAATTTAATATAATTACTGAAAAGTGATGACTCACCTGTATTGCTGGTGATAGGGATGGGGACCCCCTGCAGCTGATGCATTTGCAACCCAGTGCTTCCAAGTGTGTTAAGATTTATGGTCTGAAGGCTTGGAATCTGCACCGTGCCGACAGCTGCTCCAGCTCCTCCCTGAGTCTGCCCAAGTTGTGGAAGAGACTGGACTGGGGTCAGTGTTATCTGTGCACCTGCTGGACTCTGGATCTGAATGGTCTGCCAGCTAACCTGACCATTAGGGCCTACAGTGCGCAGAAGGATGGACCCGGTGTTTGGCATAATCTGAAGATTTTGAAGCCCTTCCTGGCTGAGTGTTGGAGCTGCAAATACTTGACCACCTGCAGTTGCAATGGTACTGGCTTGGATGGTCTGGAGAGGTGTTCCGCCTTGGATAACCTGCTGAGGCTGAATAAGAATCTGCTGAGGCTGCTGCCCATCTCTGGTGTCTGGCTGAATTGGGACACCAAGAGAAGTTGCTGGGTTTTGCTGGAACATCCCAGCCACTGATCCATTACTCTTCTGTGTTTGGGTAATTCCATAAGAGGAGGAGGTCTGAGTTGTGACAGTGGACACACTTGTCATGTAACCTGCCTCACTGTTAGAAGACACTGGCTGTTTTGATTGCTGCTGCATAAGCTGGTTACCCCCTGTGTCTCCACTACCATTTGCATCTCCCCCAGCACCTGTACTGACAGGCAGCAAAGTGATGTTTCCATTCAGAGACACTGGCATATTTGCCAAGAACTGGGGTTGGTTTTGTAACACACCATTGCCTAGAGTTATATTTTGAATGGGAATGGCTCCCTGAAGGACACTGGGCATGGTTATGATGTTTCCAGCTGCACCTGCTCTGTTGGTGGCAGCTATGATTTGCTGGCCATTAGAAGAGGACACGATCTGAAACTGCTGTCCTTGTCCTGCTGCAGCAGACACAGCAGAGTCCTGCTGAGTATGTGCAAAGTGCAGCGGTTGACCATCTACTGTCTGAAACTGTGGTATGACTTGGTACTGTATGTTGGGTACCACACCCGATAAGGTGGTAAGAACCTGTTGACATGGCATAGATGGAGCTTGAGCTACTACATATTGCTGTGGCTGCTGACCCTGAGAGCTTGCAACAGCTGCTGATGTTGACAGCACCTGTCTACCCTTGCTATTGTCTCCTCTTGTCATCACCCCTGAGGAGTCGGTGGTGACAGTGTTAGAGCCCGAGGATGCCTGAACACTGGTAGGGATAATCTGCCAGCTGTTGGCGCTGGAGGTGAAAACACCCTGGTTCATTTCCAGCTGCTGATTCTGTTGCTGGTCTTCTGGGGAATCGTTCTCTCCAGGGGTGTCAATTCGACTGCAAGTGGCTGCCAACAAGGCAAGAGGAGACGGCTGCTGTGAGTCCTAGCAATTAAAAATAAAATGGTTTTACTGATTTAATATATATATATATATATGATAAAGTAAAAAAAAAAACAACAGCAATTTAGACTTAATATTTGTTGGGTCATAATGTTTTCATTAACAACTCTTATACAAGCAAAGCAGCTAAGTGAAGAAAAACACCATTAAACTTTGACATAAATGTTGACATCCAAATACAAACATTCACAATATGTTACCTGTCATGTGGATGACATGTAATAACACTTCAGAGAATAAACATTTTTGTAATCGCAGTCTGGTAAAATACTAAAATCAAACGCCACACTTTTCCAAAACTAATAATTACAATTTCTATGCAAACTAAAATAAACCTTATAAAATGTATGTATGTTTACATGTACATATGCATTTGTATATACGTGTATATGTATGCTTAGCTGTGTATGTATGCATACATATAGGTTAATCATGAACGTAGTATACTCCCTACCACCTTGTGCATGCATATGCATATTGTCTTTTTCCAGATTTGTGTATTCTGCTTCTTTTTTTGATTATTTCATGCGTTGTTTTTTTCTGTACAATTAGAACATGCTACTGGACGCCTCAAATTCCCCCCTGGGATTAATAAAGTATCTATATATCTAAAAGACACCAGTGAACCTGATAAAACAAGGAGGAAATAAGATGCTTTGTTGGATTTAAAATACGTTTAATCTTGGATAGAGCATGTATTCACAATAATGTGACTGGATTTAGAAGAAGGGAGTGGGTTTTGGGAGAGGATGTGTGGGGAGGGGGCACCATGGGAGGGACCACAGTTTTCTGGAACAGCGGCGGGCTCGGCTTCCCCTCCCCCCAAACCCACCCATCTCCCCACCTACACTTTATTTTTGCCCTATAAACTAGCACACTCCTCTAGCCACCCCCTCCGAGGGACAGCCAAATGGGCCGAGCGAAACGTTCACGAAGCACCGGGTTAGAAGGGAACACCCCGTGTGGGCGAAATTTACCTGCCCATTCCCCACCCCGGTGACATGTGCTCCGGGGAAAAAGATCAACAACCGGACCAGAACCCGACACGGACACAGCGACAGAATCAATTCAACAAGTAGAAAATACGTATCAGGTTCTGTCCGACAGAGCATGTGATGTGGACACAGTCCGTGCGGTTAACCTACTTGTGAATTTGTGTTTCGCTTTTGACTGAATCCTCCACCGCTCTCCGCAGCGGCCATTTCACCCTGCTGCTGATCTGCGGAAGAAGAGTTGAGACTTCTCAGACAGCAAACTTGAGTCGCATAGAAGAAAGTACAGAGTGAAAACACGGCCAAAGTCCTCAAAATGCATTAACTTGAGGAACTTTCGTAGCTGATGTGCGGAGATTCAAGACATATGTTTTGAGTGCTCTCACTGGGCCAGTTAGCCGCTGAGCTAACATGAACTCAAAGCTAAAAAAAAAACTCGTTAGACACCAATTTAAGTGTCCGAGACAGCTTCAACGTTTTTTAAAGATAAAAATAAATATATATAGTCATTTCTGTTAAGGAGAGAGTATTAGCTTTATCATTAAATGGGTGGTGATGTCAGTTAAAAAGAGAAGCACCAACAAGTAGCGTTAAGTAACATTAGTTGCTCGCTTTTTAATTGCTTCAGACTCGACAGCAATACAGTATCATTTTTAACAGTTAATACCGTTTAATTGTTATACTCTGGCAACTTCTCGTACTGTTGAGTTAAAGGTAGGCTAATACTACGGCACTGAGTTTTAAAAGTTCACTTACTGCTCATAATTTGAAGACGGGAGGAGTTTCTCTTGTCTTTTTTCGGCTTGACAACTTTTCACAACTTCACACAAACTTAACGTTCTCCCTCCCTTTGAAGGAGGTGGGTGGGTACGTTCGATTTATTCACAAGCGCAGTCTGCCGATATCGTGACACGCAAACGCAGACGAATTGATGGCAAATATTTCAGTTTGTTTCAATCCCAACTTTACTAGTGTATATATATCAAATGCCAAATTAAAGGTAACCACAAGCTTGAATGAGTTAAATTGTCAATTTCCCTTCAACTCATCGTACAACTGACTTAAACTACTTGGACTACATAGCTACCGGAAGAACTATTTCGCTATCCTCCCTGAAAAAGAAACGCACCCCACTGAGAGCTACATGTGATTGACTGCTCGTTAATCCAATAGAAAAGTTTGTCTCTCCTAAAGTGCAACGGCCAGCCAATAAACTTCGAGCAAAGGCGGATAGTGGGCGGGACTAAAAGGTAGGTTGTACTTTAGAGCATGATTGACATTAGGTTATCTGTTTTCCGCACAAACGGTGTCATGAGTATTTTAGTTATGTAAATACTGATAATTGTCCTTGCTCCGTCTGCGAGTCAAGCCTATCATTCGGCTAAAGAAAATAACCAAGGCTATATCTTTGAGCACAGAGGTGGGGAGTAAGGAGGGGGGAGGCCTAAACGTTTGAGTCTTGCCTCCGTGGCTGCTGGCCACTCCCTTGCTGGCCACTGGAGTAAACAGTATGGTGGCGGGAGGAGTCAGATAGGGTGGAGGAGAAGAGAACCCTCCATCGTTCCCGCACGCTGGGAGTGGAAAGTTTGTGGGAGGGTTTTTATCACTGTGAGTGGGTGGGCTGTCAGTGAAACAGCACATGCACACATGTAAACATGACAGACGGTGAGTTCAGAGCAGACCAGGCCTGAACCCACTGAAGTCACCGAGGTTAATGACTTCTACTCACAACCATAGACACGCCCCCTTTTTTCCCACCACACCCTTTTTCACGCACGGTAACTTGTAACACACCGTTGTTTGTTTCGATTTTGTTTTAGCTCAGAAACTACTACCCCCCCCCCCCCCCCAACAAAGCTGGTCATCTGGATGTTTTTTTTTTTTGTTGTTGAGAAGTTTCGTCCTTCATCCAAAGGACTTCATCAGTTCAAGGAGCCACAACAAACTCAGTCCACAAGCAGAACACTCGTAGTGGATCAACGCGTTTGCTGGTGATAAGATGGATGAAGCCTTTGGATGAAGGATGAAACGTCTCAACAACAAAAAAGAAATCGTCCAGATGACCTGACCTGAGCATGAATTTTGATACCATTTTTTATGTCATTTGCATTGATGTATGCATGATGCATTAAAGGTTTCCAAGCTTATCATCTGCATTTTTATAGCATCACAGTTTAATTTTTTTTAGGTGTAATGTCATAAAGCTGGTCTCTAGAAATATATCAGTCAACATGCAACTATAAACTTATTAATGTACCAGTGTAGCTCTTCTAAAAGACCACCTTTCAATCTAGGGCCACAACAAGGCTCACTGGGATTAACAAGTATAAATAAAGGTTGAATGAAAAATAAATAATGCCTAAAGTCCCATAAATGGATTCAGATTTTGGTTTTGTACCAGTTCTTAAGAAGTGGTTCAAACTTTTAAAAAAAATACTACAAATCAAAGCCAAAAATATTAAATCATTTGACAAATATACAGGTCCTTCTAAAAAAATTAGCATATTGTGATAAAGGTAATTATTTTCCATAATGTAATGATAAAAATGGAACTTTCATATATTTCAGATTCATTGCACACCAACTGAAATATTTCAGGTCTTTAATTGTTTTAATACTGATGATTATGGCATACAGCTCATGAAAACCCAAAATGCCTGTCCCAAAAAATTAGCATATCATGAAAAGGTTCTCTAAACAAGCTATTAACCTAACCATCTGAATCAACGACGTAACTCTAAACACCTGCAAAAGATTCCTGAGGCTTTTAAAAACTCCCAGCCTTGTTCATTACTCAAAACCGCAATCATGGGTAAGACTGCCGACCTGACTGCTGTCCAGAAGGCCATCATTGACACCCTCAAGCAAGAGGGTAAGACACAGAAAGAAATTGCTGAATGAATAGGCTGTTCCCAGAGTGCTGTATCAAGGCACCTCAGTGGGAAGTCTGTGGGAAGGGAAAAGTGTGGCAGAAAACGCTGCACAATGAGAAGAGGTGACCGGACCCTGAGGAGGACTGTGGAGAAGGGCCGATTCCAGACCTTGGGGGACCTGCGGAAGCAGTGGACTGAGTCTGGAGTAGAAACATCCAGAGCCACCGTGCACAGGCGTGTGCAGGAAATGGGCTACAGGTGCCGCATTCCCCAGGTCAAGCCACTCTTGAACCAGAAACAGCGGCAGAAGCACCTGACCTGGGCTACAGAGAAGCAGCACTGGACTGTTGCTCAGTGGTCCAAAGTACTTTTTTCGGATGAAAGCAAATTTTGCATGTCATTCGGAAATCAAGTTGCCAGAGTCTGGAGGAAGACTGAGGAGGAGGAAATGCCAAAACGCCAGAAGTCCAGTGTGAAGCACCCACAGTCAGTGATGGTCTGGGGTGCCATGTCAGCTGCTGGTGTTAGTCCACTGTGTTTTATCAAGGGCAGGGTCAATGCAGCTGGCTATCAGGAGATTTTGGAGCACTTCATGCTTCCATCTGCTGAAAAGCTTTATGGAGATGAAGATTTCATTTTTCAGCACAACCTGGCACCTGCTCACAGTGCCAAAACCACTGGTAAATGGTTTACTGACCATGGTATTACTGTGCTCAATTGGCCTGCCAACTCTCCTGACCTGAACCCCATACAGAACCTGTGGGATATTGTGAAGAGAAAGTTGAGAGACGCAAGACCCAACACTCTGGATGAGCTTAAGGCCGCTATCGAAGCATCCTGGGCCTCCATAACACCTCAGCAGTGCCACAGGCTGATTGCCTCCATGCCACGCCGCACTGAAGCAGTCATTCATGCAAAAGGATTCCCGACCAAGTATTGAGTGCATAACTGAACATGATTATTTGAAGGTTGGCGTTTTTTTGTATTAAAAACACTTGTCTTTCATTGGTGGGATGAAATATGCTAATTTTTTGGGACAGGCATTTTGGGTTTTCATGAGCTGTATGCCATAATCATCAGTATTAAAACAATTAAAGATCTGAAATATTTCAGTTGGTGTGCAATGAATCTGAAATATATGAAAGTTTAATTTTTATCATTACATTATGGAAAATAATGACCTTTATCACAATATGCTATTTTTTTTTAGAAGGACCTGTAGTGTTAGGCCACAAAAGTTCATGTATACAAATGTCAGTGAGGTCATCTGGACGGTTTCTTTTTTGTGATGAGACGTTTTGTCCATCATCCCACGGACTTCTTCAGTTTGAGGAGCACACCAAACGAAACTGATTCTCCACCAGCAACATACTCCAAAGTGGATAAAAAAAACAGGTAGCTGGTGCTAGGATGGCCTCTGGGGCACGCCGTCCCTCCGGGGATTATTACCCAATACAGGGGCTTAAACATTCAGAATTTTCCTTTATTTTTTTCACATGCATTAAAAGTAATCAGTTCAGTTTATCTTTCTATATAGCACCAAAAGTCCAAACCAAATCCAGTTCAGACACAGCTTCAAATCCAATCACAATCAATTAATTGATTTTATGTTACAATATACAGTCATCCATCCATTATCCTCCGCTTGTTCCGAAGTCGGGTTGCAGGAGCAGCAGCTTGAGAAGGGAAACCCAGATATCTCTCTCCACAGCTACCTCTTCCAGCTCTTCTGTGAGGATTCCAAGGCATTCCCAGTCCAACTGAGAGACATAATCTCAGTCTCTACAGCGTGTCCTGAGTCTTCCCTGGGGTCTCCTCCAAGTCGGACATGCCTGAAGCACCTCCATAGGCAGGCACCCAGGGAGCATCCTTACCAGATGCTCAAACCACTTCAACTCTTCTTGATGTGGAGAAGCAGCAGTTCTACTCCGAGTCCCTCCTGGATAACTGAACTTCTCACCTTATCTCTTAAGGGAGAGTCTAGCTACCCTTCGGAGGAAACTCATTTCAACCGCCTGCATCTGGGATCTAATTTTTTTTTGGTCACTACCCAGAGCTCATTACCATAAGTGAAGCGTTTTCAGCAAACCCTCACTACATGTTTGGGTCTATCAGGTCTGTTTGACATTTTTCCCACCGTCTGATCCAACTCACTACCAGGTGGTGATCAGTTGACATCTCAGCTCCTCTCTTCACCAAAACAAACGGCCGCAAATCAAACGACATGACTGCAACATCATTCATGGATTTACGACCTAGGGTGTCCTGGTGCCAAGTGCACTTGAACATGGTATTCGTGATGGACAAACTATGACTAGCACAAAAGTCCAACAACAGGACACTGCTCGGGTTCAGATCAGAGAGGCCGTTCCTCCCAAGCATGCCCCACCAGGTCACAAAATGTCAGTTAGTGTAACACTAGATGAAGAAATAGAATAGTCCAGCCTAGAAGTGATAACTTAATGAACGTGAACTTTTAGAAAAAATAACTTTTACCTGCTGGCAAAAGTTCCAAAATACTTTATTTCGGTGTGAAATTTATCTTGCGCACTTTTTGACAGCAAAAGAATGTTGCAAAAAACATTAAAAGATCAGATAAAACAAGTTCATCAAAGTCTTCCTAGTGCAGAACAGGAAGGCAGCACATTTACTCACATGGAAATTGTAGGGTTATTCGTGTCTCACATGAGCTGATTTATTATAGCAAACATAATCCAACTTTTTTTAACAAAAGTGTCACACATGCAATTTGGATTTTAGAAAAATCCAAATGCTGCATGCTGTAGGATTAAATGGTTATTTTTAGTGTCACAGTGGAGCTGCTATGCAGAATACAGAAGGTCATAATTTCCTGATTAGTAAAGTAGGTGATATAATACTTTAATTTGCACTCTATGTCTCTGACATTTCCAGCAACATG